TTATAGTTATAGAGGGTAAAACCACAAATTATTATTTTCTAGGAGGGGCCAAATAAGAATGGTACAAAAAACATTTTGGGAGGCCATAGCTCCTGCCAGCCCCCTCTAGCTACGCCCCTATCTTCATTCAAAAACACTATCAATAATTACACAATACAACAAATAGTTACTAGGGTAGTGTTGTTTTCATGGATACTATATATTTTGATAAGTAGAACTAAAAAATGGTAAATAGAACAAGGATTTGTCTCTTATTCGCTTTCGTTGTCCAAAATGATATATAGAATTAAAAACACAAACATCTTTCTCGCTTATCCGCACTATCACCATGACAATGTCTATTTATTTGTTGGCTAGGAGATATATATATATATATATATATATATATTTATTTATAAGTGTGTATGTATGTGGAGCCCATTTGACAAACAAGCCTTGTTAGCAATGATTCTCCAATTTTTTTCCACTTTTTTCAGTTTTTTTTATTTGATAATTTAAAATATAATTCAATAATATGACATAAAAATGATACGATTTAAAATTTTAATAAAATTTATATATATGAGATTAATAAAAATTAAAAAAATTTATATTTTTATGTTGACGAAAATTATCACACGTAATTTTTATATAAAACACAATATAATTATATAAATTATTAATAATTTACACAATATAAATATACAAATTCTCATATTTAATTTTTTTCTACTTTAGAATGTTATGATTGATTTAGTAAAGCTAATACATGTTAATCAAATATGATATAAAAATTAAAAATGTAAACGAATAAAACATTCAATGAATTATTCATAATCATGTTCATTTTTTTTGTTTATTAATCTTAACAAATGATCATGGATATTTTAATATTCATTTAATAAATAAATAAAATATGAATAGAATTTATTTTGTTTGTTTTACGAACAAATTCATTTAACATTCGTAAACAAATTCAATAAATATTTATTATATTTTATATTTATTCCTTATAAAGTGATTAATTTATAATTAAATAACTTTTAACAAGATTTCAATCAAAATTTGATATTAATACATTAAAAAATTATACGTAACATATATTAAAAATCTTTCATAACGTTTTTAAAATATTATTATAAATATAATTTTTAATTACTTAAAAATAGACAACAAAGACTTTTTGTTTATGGTATTTGTACCCTAGATAGCTTAGAAAACCAATATTGGGAAAGGAGACTCTTTATAAGTTGACATGTTCCTTTCTTTCTAGAACCCACGTCATTGGCCATTGAGGTACAATGACATGGCTTATTATTTATAAATCTTAAAACTTAAATTGATTTCTTAGACCAAGTTTTTAGTTATTAATTTAAGTTTGATTTATATATTTGTGAATATATTTATTTAATATTTATAAATAAATTTAATTTAAATTAAATTTAAATATTTTAATATTTAAATGAATCGTACTCAAATATAATATAAATTTTTTTTATTAAACTAAAATTCAACTTCAACAACTTTAAAAAATAGATGACGAAATCATAAAAATAATAATATTAATTCTTATTCAATTCACTTACATCCTTGGTCCAACCGTTGATGGATAGAGGTCCCACATAATCAATGAAAGTCATCATGACCAAAAAGAATCAAGCCAATCACGACCGTTCATTCATGTATCTTATAGGTGTGTGTGACTTAGCAAAACCCTAGTCTTACTTAAGTGACAAGTGAAATAAACTATTTGCATGTCAACGGTTAAGGAAGTGTTTGAACTATATTTTTTGTATTTTAATTTTTTGAAATAGTAGATTTTGGCTTGGACGATTTTGTTTTGCTAATTTCTTTGGCTCTTATGCTTAAGATCATATAAGTTTGATAAGGTCAAACTAGGTTTAACTCCGAGTTTGGTTGGCACTTTATTTATTTATTTTTTAATAAAAAGTAAAATGTAAAAAATAAAATATAATTGAAAATAAAAAAATACTAAAAAATAGAAAAAATCAACCAAATGAAATCTTAATTAATAAGCTGTTGCCATCATACAATAAAGCATAAAAAAAAAAAAATACATGTTCTATAATCCAAAATCTTCTCTTTTAACTGATATTTGGATAAAAACAGAAAGAGCATTCATCTTACTAAATAACCAAATGTTTGTAGTGAATAATGTGCAGAGGGAACAATTTGAAAGAAATGGATTTGAAGTTAAATAATTATTATCTTGGTGCAAAAAAATGGAAAACAAAGAGATAAAAATAAATAAAAGTATTTAATGAAAAATAAATAATTAAAAGTATATATATGAAAAGGATATTAATAGTACTATATTAGTAGTAATATATATAATATTTATATTGGAAATAAAAGGTAATAATCATATTTTATTATCATTGTTGCTTTTACATTTAAACACATATTTTATTATTAATTTTAATTTTACCGTTATAATATTCATTCTCATCATTATAATAATTAATCTAATTTTTATTACTATTTTTAATCTCACCGACATTTACTTTTCACATGTAACACTATTTTTATTTGGTATTCTAATGACTTAATTGATTTTATCTCAAGTACTTGTTATGAGAAAACTTTTTGTGAATCTATGATCATTAGATTATTTATCCCCATAAAAGAGAAAAACCAAAAAGAAAAAAAAATATATGGAAATTACATCTGTTAAGAGTATTTTAGGTTTAGAGGATAAATTGATCTTTTTTTTATTAGAGGTTATTAGTAGGCAATCAAGAGTATTTTTTATTTTCGACAAACTTCACACATATAATATCACGTCAACTCGATTATCTCATTATCCTAACATTTAGCCTTCAAATAGAGCTATCTGCATACTATCTAATTTATCTAATTTTTTTCCTTTACTTTCCTACTTACTTCTCTTTTCGACCTCCTCTACTTACTTTTGACTTTAGTGTTGGAGCGCAAGTGCAGGAAATTCCTTCTGTTTTTACTTTTATTCGTTTTCTTTCTCTCATAATTTCAAAGTCCTTACACTTAACTTAGAGTGTGGCATGAACAACATCAATTTATTATTTTCTCTTCTTATGAAAAAAGAAATCAAAATGCAATTAACTTAATTTCATTCAATATTGATCAATAAATGAGCAAGGAAAATGAGAAATCTCTTAATTTGCTTTCATGGTATTTTTTTAAGAAAAAAATTCAGTAAAAATTAAAAAAATAAATTATAAATATTAAAATTTAAATTCTAAATCATTTGAATGTTATCTTGTAATTGCATAAATTAATTAAACTAAGCTCCAAATTTAACATACAAAAGAAATACGCTATTTTCTTGTCTTTTTGTTGAAACCCTCTTCTCCTCGTAAACTTAGCGAGCATCTAGTTAGCTTAATCAGCAATACTACATTTTGTCTTGCTTTGATGCAGGCCCTGTCATTGGTGGGTTATGTGTAGTGAGTGATGCAGCAGGCAGCAGTTGGGTGAAGAGCAAATGGGCTGCTAGAACTCATATTGCCTCACATTTACCAAGATTTGCACGAAACAAATGTGGATCCTGAGTCACTGTACGCGCATTGCTAGCTAGCTCCACTCTCTGAAAAGGTACGTACTCGATCAAATTAAATTATTTTCTCTCTCAATCTTATCAATCTTATGGGGTCTCATTCGATTACATGTTCCATGGACCAATTCACCATTCTGCATTTATAAGAGTTGGGACCCAAATTTTGTTTTAATGATTTGTGCCTCTTTCTTCACTCAAAATTATTCATTAAATATGCTTTAACTCCTGATGCATCCCTACCCAAGCTTAAGCAGCAATCAATGAACCTTTCATATAGTTTCTTTAATGAGTCTTTTTTTTTTGTCCTTTGCCTTTTTTTTTTCTCTAAAATTAGTCAAACCTAAGTCAATGAGAAGAATCAACAAAACAAATTGGCTTTAAGGATGGAATCAACAACTATATAAAAAAGATGACGGCGAACGGTGACTGGGGCAGTAGTTCACGGTGGCAATCGACGATCGGATTTTAGAGAAAGATAGGGGAAAGATGGGTTAGAGGGAGAAAAAGAAGTACAAGGAAAATAAGAAAGAAAATTATCTTTTATATTTTAGGTTAGATTTTTTAGGTGTTAAAACGACATAGTTTTGTTAGATCCACTCTGAACCACTGAGCCATGAATAAATCAAGCGCGATAGTCTTTTAGCCAAATTTTATGTAGTTTTTTTTTTTTTTTAATTTTTGTTTATCAAAATCTAAAAAATATAATAATAAAAATTTTTAAAAGACCAAAAAATTTAAAAATCAAATCAAAATCATCATAAAAGATTTAATTGTATTTTAAAAATCTTTCTTTCCTTTTGTTCTAAATGTTTTTTAAAAAAGGTTTATAATTTAAAATAAATTAAAAAAATAATAAATGTAATTAAATAAATGATAATTTTGAAAAATGAAAAACACAACCTTCACAATATAGCACAAAAGCCAATAACAAAACCATGACTATAATATATTACATATTTTTTAATTTTGATATATTTATAATATTCAAGGTTGGATTAAAATTATTATTTGCATGTTAAAAAAATCATAATTATATTAAAAAATAATTAAAATTTTTATGAAAAATAGGTAACCTCTGTAATGGAACCAAATTCTAATTATATATATCATGAGAATGAACTAATTAATATCAGTATAAAACAAAATATTTCATATTTTTTTAATCATTGATTTTAATAAATTTAAAAATTAAGATTAACTCATTTTTTCTCTTTTTGAATTATCTTTCTTATTTTTTGATTTATTAAAATTAATAATTAAAAAAAATTACATTAAAATAAACTGATCCGTCCTCGTATTAAACAAGCTGTATATGTAAAAAAATTTTATCAGAAAGGTGAAGGCCATCAACCATAAGGATATATGTAACATAAACCGCCCAAATTTTTATTCACATACTATATAGAATTATTATATATATTTGCAGAAACAAATATTCCCACTTTGGAGTTATTTATAGAATAAAATAGACATCGATTATATATTTAGTAAATTATTAGACAAACGCCCCATCTCTTTCTTTCACTCTCTAATATACAAACAACCCATAAAAGCAAGGTGATACATACATCGAACGTCCTTAAAAACCAGCAAACATTTCATTTTCCACTGCTTTTCAAACAAGTTTCAAGAGGAAAAAACGTTTTACTATTGATTTTTCTTCTCTTCAGCTCCATCCATGGATACTGCTGAATGGCCACAGGTAGAGAGATCTATCACCTAACTGCTAGCTCTTGCTCTCTCTATGAGACCTTTTGGCTTTTCAAAGGAATAATTTAGAGTCAATTGTATTTTTTTTGCTTGTTTATTGGGTACTCTTCTTTGCAAAAGATGATGGTGTTCATGTTGTACAAAAGAAAAAAAAAAAAAAAACAGGATGATGGTGTTCATGGCTATAGTTGAAGTCCCCACTCAATTGAATTTAGTTTTTATCAGTTTTTCAACATTTTGCACTTTATCTATCTTTTGCTTATGAGATAAAGGAAGGAGGCTGCTTTTTTTTAATCTTTTATTTTCACCTTTCTTTTCTACTTTTCTCTTTTATATTTGGCTTGTTATAATCTTGGAAAGTGTAAAGCTGTTAACTCGTTTGGTTTTTTCCGTTTGTCTGCTATCATCTTTTTAATCTTCAGTTTTTTCACTGCTGATCATCTTTGTTTGATCTTGAAGTTATTGCTTGCCTACTTTTTTTTTTTTTGTGTGTGTGTTTTCATTTATCTTCTTTTGCTTTTTCGTTGTTTATGTTTCTAGGAGATTGTGGTGAAACCAATAGAAGAGATAGTCACAAATACATGTCCAAAGCCTGCAGCTTTAGAGAGGAAGGCAAGGCCTCAAAAGGAACAAGCTTTGAACTGTCCCAGGTGCAATTCAACTAACACCAAGTTCTGCTATTACAATAACTACAGTCTCACACAGCCTAGGTACTTTTGCAAGACTTGTAGAAGGTACTGGACTGAAGGCGGTTCCCTCAGAAATATTCCTGTTGGAGGTGGTTCAAGAAAGAACAAGAGATTAGCTTCTTCTTCATCATCAGCAAAAAAACATCCTGATCTGGTTACACCACCAAGCTTGTCACAGTCTTCTACCCAAAACCCTAAGATCCAGGATGGACAAGATCTCAACCTAGCTTTCCCAAATAGTCAAGGTTATAGAAGTATCTCAGAATTGGTTCAAGTTCCCAATAGCGTAGAAAACAATAAGAACCAAATTCCTTCTTCTTCATCCCCTACATCTCAACTTTCAGCTTTGGAGTTGTTTACTGGAATCTCTTCTAGGGGGTTAAATTCTTTCATTCCCATTCCAGTTCCAGATCCAAATACAGTTTATACATCTGGGTTTCCTATGCAAGAGTTTAAACCAACGCTAAATTTCTCCCTGGATGGGCTTGGGAGTGGTTATGGGAGTCTCCAGGGGGTTCAAGAGACAGCTGGGAGGCTTTTGTTTCCATTTGAAGATATGAAGCAAGTCTCAAGCACAACTGATCTTGAGCAAAATAAAGAGCAAGGAGATTCAGCTGGATATTGGACTGGAATGTTAGGTGGAGGATCATGGTAAAGAAGATGAAAAGTATAATGGGTCTTTTTTCCTTTTCTTTTCCTGGGTTTTCTTTTTAACTTTTTATTAATTTGTTAAGGTGGGTGACTTGTTTGGATTTCTTCGTGACTAACAAATAGGAATACACGGGTTTCTTTGCCTCTACATATCCTTCTTTTTTCCCCTTTATTATCTTCTTTACTATTTAGTTATGCTGGGAATTTGAAGCATTTTTTAGGTTGGCTTCACTAAGGGTGACGTCAGATACTTTGTTATGGTAGAAGAGATCAAAGCTAAGCCAGAATTTTTTGGGGTAAAAATGTAGGAGAGGAGAGGCATGCCCTACGTCCTTCATTATAGGTTGATCTTCTCCTATCAAGAGAGCAGAAAGAGCAACCATATGCGTCATTGGTTGACTTGGTATAAGTACAAAAAATAATGTATAATGTTCAAGTTTGTAAGGAATTCCTGGTTGGAAAAAAGACTTTGTTCATAAAGTTTCTAATTTCGATTTATCAAACAAATTGTTGTTGTTAATAATCTCAAATTGGTTACTGCTCTGGGACTTTGAAATTTTCTCCATCTCTTCTTTTATGTTGTAGACAGGATGGGAGCTTAGGGAGAAGAGTTATGCCAGGTAAGAAATCTGATCCTTCCACATGCCATTGAAAATTTGTATTACAGAATGCCTGAATGAATAATAAGGATAGTAATTGAAAGTTTTGTGTTATTCTGGAAGGCTATATTGAAACCTGCCTGATCAATCCAAAAGGTCACCTACTGATTTTCTATATCCAAACAGTTTTGAAGGCTCCTTCACATTATCCCCATTTCCAGTGAGAGAGCCACCCTCTTTTCCTTTTTCTAATTGAAAGATTGAGAAAGATCTGAGAGAGCCTCCTTAATTTCTTTTGGTCTTGAGAAGGGACCCACAAACATTCCCCTCGACAAGTGCGCTGAAGAATAATGCACCCCACTAAGGTTGATCAATCCAGATCTACACCCCTTTTATTATATGTTATTTCAATTTTGCTCTTTGCTGTAAGCCACTTAAGTGTGCATAATATCTGGCAAATGTGTTAATTCTCCTCCTGTACCCACTCCTCTCTCTATCATGGAAGTCTCTTTCCCCTGCCCAAATTAAACTGGCTCTCTTTTATTTTAAGTTAATGACCTGTTGATCCTACTTTACTTTCTCCATGTGCTGTTTAGAAACCAGAATACCCATCAAACCACCCCATGTTACATTTTAGTCTAAACAACAAGAATGCCTGACAAAAACATTTTTCCTTGAACAACAAGGATGGAGCTCAGATTCAAAATTTTTCCTTACCCAAAGAAGCTATTTTTGGAAAACATCATAGAGAAAAAGGAAAAGGTAAAGTGATGAAAAAGGCTCTTGTTTATTTGTTCCCGGATAGGTCATCTGGTATAAGACTTTGATCTACTTGGAGGAGGTTGGCAATTATATAAAACTCATTTTCCATGCCCTAACATGGATATTCGAATTCATATAGTATAACTAAGTACCTGCAATATCCAAATGTTACATGCATATTCTAAACTTATTTCAACTCTTTTTTATTCAAAAGACGGTAGCTTTATATATATATATATATATATATATCTTGTCTGAACTATATATGAAGTAAACAATACTTAGAAACGAAGCCAAAAGGGGAGAATTTAGAGCATTGCTCGATGTCTATTCGACAAATACAGGATTCATTTTTATGTATTAAAAGGTTGAAATATGAGGATAAAAAATCAAAATTATAAGTATTAAAATTTAATTTTTAATTATATTATAAATTATCTTTTAAAATAATTACATGAATTAATTAAATCGAGTTTTAAATTTTTTTTATGTATGATCTACGACCAGAAGGAGTACCGTGTACTAATTTAGCGTGTAATTCAAGTCACACTGTGTTTCACTCAAGGCTTCGTGGACAAGTGAGTGAGGGAGTGACCCACTGCCGACATGTTCATGTACCCTTGAAGTGAAAAGGTTGGATGGCACTATTCATGAAGACCTTGCTTTTCCTTTTTTTTTTTTTAATTGTAAATATGAAAGAAAAAGATCGAATCCTAAACCTCAGTTTTATTTTAAAAAAAAAGTAATATTGGGGAGGATAAGTTCGAATGAAGTAGAAGAGTTCTGGCTTGCAAAAGAGAAATTACTCTATGTGAATGTATTTTTCCCTGGCATAAAGGGTGAGAGGTATATGTATTCACTTCATTAAAGAGAAATAACAATGTCCTTTTCAGATCCATTATCTGTACAGGGATATTATAATTATACTTGGAAGGACAAAATAATGAAACCTAGTGCTAGAGAAACCGGACGTGGATTCCTTCGCAGATCAATGAATGATCAGCATTGATTCCAAATATACGGACCTTGTGCATGTTAGGGAACTTTGCAACCACAAGCACAAAAACAGCCAATGTGTTGAAGAAAAGCATCGGGTTTTGATAATCTGTTGTGTGTGAGGCGATAAGATACCTGGCAGAAATAATGTAGGTAAGAGAAGGATTGCATTAACCATGATAATATATATATATATATATATATCAAAGTTATTGTATTATGTCTTGCATCACATCACAGTTCTCTTATCTAAGGTAACAAATTGCTACAAAATTTCCATTTAAGAGCCATACAACAAATATGGCAGCAATAAACAGCTTGTTCAATATGCAGAAAAGTGATGAACTCATCATGAAAGAGCAAAGAAGTGTCTGGTGAGTGATGTGTGAGCTTTTTCAATCAACTGTTAAATGTCATCCTTCGAAAAGACAATGCAAGAAGCACTTCCAAATGTCAAGACAATAATGAACTGACAGAAGAATCAAGTGTGCGACAAAAAATATACAGTTCAAATTCAAATGACCTAAGCAAGGTGTCATACTGTTTGAAACTTTTCTGTAAGATGTCATCCAACAGATAGGAAGTATTTAACTTTTTCTTTCATATAAAGCAATGTAAGCTACAACGTACTTAATGCAATTGGGTAGAAATTTTATACCAATGGAGATTCATCTTCCCAAAGGGAAGTCATTAACTTGGAAGAAGTGGCTGACCAAGGTATCCACAATTGCACTAGTGGATGGGCAGAGAGGAGGTCTAAATATGTATACTAGGCCTTCCAAGAAACTGTCCTTTGTCAACTAATCCTTTGTACAATTGTAAATCGATTAGATATGTATACTAGACATTCATGGATGTTGGCAATGTTTGACCATAACTCAGTGGGCATCTAACAGAACGTGTACATCTGAATCAAATAAAACGGGAAACCCTCGTTGCATTTACTTTTTAGAGAAATGAACGTATCCGGGAATTAAAAATATTTCATATTGTTGCTTCCAATTTCCGTTAAAGGCTTTTTATAGTGGAAATTGAACACTTATAGCACAACAGGTACAACGGTCAAAAACTTCCTATTGCAAGTGAATTGCCATTGTCTATTTGCTCCCACCACGTCAAACCGTTGTAGATACCTCATACCTTAGTCATCAGAGAATGGTGTTCCTTTTTTCCGGTGAAAGAACTGATACGTGACCTAAGGTAAGATGTGAATTCTGTTCGGCAAAAAACCTTTATCCAATCAAGCCAGCGATACATAATCAAATAATTAATCAATCACATAAAAGATAATAATTTAATGTGATACGGTTCAATCGATCTATATCTACGGATGAAAAATAAAATCAACTAGTTATAGAGAATTACAAACATACAATCAAATTAAACACTTATAACCAATACCCATAGATATTTTCAATCACTTATAGTCTTATAGAGTATTTTTAACCCAAGTAAATACATACTTATGTGCACCATTTCAACACGAACAAACGTATATTCATATGCACTCATACATCATACCTATATGGATCATTTCAATCTTATTTAGTCCACTCATAAACATACAGTTATACATACCTATAAGACATCCATAAGATATAAATCTTTAGTAATCTTATAGGATGTCTATCCCATAAAAGTCTATAACTCATATTTTTTTTCATACCTAAATTTATAGAGACTTCATCTATTTATAAGCATACAAACTTGTCTGTTAATAATCCATTTTCTCTTAAATTCTTTTACTGTAAGTCAAACTTACCTATTAAGAATCTCTTTTCTCTTAGAATTCCTCTTTTACAAATCTTTTTATTCATCTAGTAATATTTAACAAATCTCAAATAAATTTCTTATGAGGTTTGAGTCACTATTTCCAACAAATCCATGCATAACAAACTCATTAAAAAACATAGCTTGTAACGTTGATAACAAAATGGATATTATAGCATTTGTAATTGTTGTAGCAAAAAGTGAAGACAATAATTTCTTGACTCTATCTTAACGCTATGTCTAGATATATATAAATAAATGAAAGGAAAGGAAATGAAAGAAAATTAAAGTTTTTTAAAGGAAAGAAAATGGTACATGTACCATTTGTTTGGATAGTTAAAATTAATATAGGAAAAGAAAGAAAAGAAATTCTAACTACCATTGTTTGGATAAATAGTGAAAATGAAAGGAAATAATTCATTATAATACTTTTTTCAATTATAACTTTTTTTTTATAAAGTAACATATAATATATAAATATATCTTTATACTAGCTAACTTGTATAAATAAATCTTTCTAAACAAAATTGAGCATGTTTAATACGATAAAATGTATTAGTTAGTTATTGATTTATTCTTAATTTTATATTTAATTCAGTCTTTTAATTTATTCTGACAATAATTTGGCTTGTTTTATTGTTAAAACTTGAAAAATCATAAAATATTTATAAACTGTAATGTTATATAAAATACTCATAAAAAATTATTTTTATAGGAAATGTTAGTTATATAATCAAATATAATCTCATAATAAAAATATGGATATAATAGTTTTTTTATAAAAATAATTTTTTTTTTAACTTTGCTTTGCTTAGCTTTTCTCCCAAATTGGGTATTAAAAAAATAAGGATTATAAGGAAAACTAAAGAATATTGAGTTTTTACCTCTTTTCTTTCTTTTAAATGAAAAGTTTATCTAAACAAAAAAAAAGTTTTTCTGTTTTCATTACTTTCCTTTATTTTCTTTTCCTTTTTTTTTTCCTTCCCCTCAATCCAAACATAGTGTTAGGTATAATAATGACAAGCAAATATATGGGGAAAAGGGAAGAGATTTTGTGGTTCATCAACATTAAATTATTTTCAACTACATAGGTGAAATATGTGCCTTCTTCCACTCTTTAAAAGGCAGAAAAAAGAGCTATCAAGGGGACATACCAAAACATTGACAAATGTTGGTAATCAAAGGTGTACTATTATGGCTCATTCAATTTGCTACTGAGCATATCCTTATGACTTAAAATTCAAATGTCCATTCATCCATACATACAATGCTATCGAGAAAACTAGCAAAGTTTTGCACTAGAATCATGAAAAATAAAAACAATTTATGACAAGTTGATAGCATAGATGTTGTCTAATCAAATCTTAAAGGGTGGAAAACACACACTTACTCTAACAATGTAAAGATCGATTAGCCCTTTACAACCATCCCAAGAGGTTGAGAAATAATGGATTTAGAAACTCATGATGCCTAAGTATACTAATTGATGAATTAGGGTATTAGTCAAGACTTCTTCACATAAGACAAAGAAAAAGGACAAAAATCCATCTCTTGTAAGCATGCAACTTAGTAGGAATATACCATTTCAAGCTAATTTGAAATAGTTGATGCATAGAATTTCCAATAGAAAATTCAGTTTATTAATTACTTTTTGTTTAAAACATTATAAGAAAATGAAAGATTAGTGACAGTTTTATAGTAGCGTTTCACTTACAAACGTCGTTAGCTTTCGTGTTTTTATAAAACTTAAGGCATTTATTATCAAAATGCCACTAAATATTCAAATAGCGACGTTGTTACTTATAAACGTCACCCAAAACTTGATATTAGCGGCATTTATCGATTAAAATGTCTTGAATAATCCTATCTTAAAAATTTGAATGAATACTAAAGGTATTTTTGGCAGAAAATGGTTTCAATAATCTCGTTAAAAAATTGATAGAGAATTACTGAAGGTATTTTTGACAGACAATGCCTTCAATAGTCCTCTTATAAAAAAATGTATATGATTATTGAAGGCGCTTTCTACAAGAAATGCTTTTAATAATTCCACCAAAAAATTTCACAAGATTATTGAAAGTATTTTTTGTAAAAAATACCTTCAATAAATATCATATAAAAAATTTTGGATCGAACGGATGTTAACGATAAGGTGGTAGGTTTGATCCCTCCTTTAGCCTTTTTGAGTTTTTGTAGAGATTATTTGTAATTGATTATTTTAGGCATTTTCTGGGCAAAAACACCTTCACCAATTGCTTTAAAAAATTTTGGAGAGAATATTGAATGTGTTTTTAGCAAAGAAACACCCTTAATAATTCATAGAAAAAATATGAAACCGATTCTTGAAGGCATTTTTGGCCAATCTCGCCTTTAATAATCCAATCAATAAAT